TTGGCTTATATCTCAAAAACTAAATCTTTTAGAGCAAATGTGACATGGGGTAAAATTGTTTAATTGGTCAAGATCTATCGGTCCTGAAATTGTCAGACGAATCGAACAACCCATTGTTGGGTTGTTGCCACCGAATTGGTAGTTTTAACAAAATTTTGCAGTTTTTATACGACCGCAAAAAATTACGACCGCAAAAAATTTTTGCGGTCGTATATTGGTATGACGTTGGCGTCGTCGTCGTCCGAAGACACATTGGTTTTCGCACTCTAACTTTAGTTTAAGTGAATGGATCTCTTTGAAATTTTACCATAAGGTTCAATACCACAAAAGGAAGGTGGGGATTGATTTTGGGGGTTATGGTACCAACAGTTAAGGAATTAGAGGCCAAAAATGAGCATTTTCTAGTTTCCAGACAATAACTGTGGAACGGTGTATGGATCTCTCTGAAATTATACTACAAGTTTCCTACCACAAAGGGATGGTTAGGATTTGCTTTGGGGGGTTATGGCTCAAACCGTTTAGGAATTAGGGGCAAAAAAGGGGGAAAAACAAGGTTAATGGACAAATACTTTAGTACAAAACATAATTTAAAGCAGTGTAAGGGAGATAAATCAAATACATCATTGAAATTATCTCCCTTACACTGCTTTTAAATTATGTATAAAGTAATGGTTAATGAACAATTAAGATAATTTAAAACAGTGTATATGAGGTAATCCAAATACAACGTTTTGGTTACTTCCCTTACACTGCTTTTAAATTATGTTTAAAGAAATGCATATTTATAAAGGAAGACCAGTAAAAATGTGGCATCTTTGTTTTTTTTACAAAAAAATCCATATGAAAGATTTGACACTATATTTTAAATTCTATTATAAAATAGATTAAGTTAGCACTATGGTAAATTTAAATGGGTAATTATGGTTGGAAACTCCATTGGAAATTTGAATTGAGATTATGACCATATCTTGAGGGAAAGAATTTTTTTGGGGAAAAAAAGGGGGTAAAAAGAAATTGTGGGGGGTCAATTTTTTCTCATTTCAGATTTCAGAAATTAAAAAGAATTATTTTTCAAATATTTTTTTTTCAAATTTCAAATATTGAAAAATTTAAAGAAGTAATCTTTAATTGCACAGTATGGCGCATTAGATTTGTAAAATCTTTGACCACATTTATTTATTTGTAATGCCGAATCTAACCGTGTATTAAGATTTTTAATTTGGGTCCAGTTTTCAAATTGGTCTACATTAAGGTCCAAAGGTCCAAAATTAAACTTAGTTTGATTTAAACAAAAATTGAATTCTTGGGGTTCTTTGATATGCTGAATCTAAACATGTGTTTAGATTTTTGATTATGGGCCCAGTTTTCAAGTTTGTCCAAGTTGGGGTCCAAAATTAAACTTTGTTTGATTTCAACAAAAATTGAATATATGGGGTTCTTTGATATGCTGAATCTAACCATGTATTTTGATTTTGGACATTGGACCATAATAGGTAAATTAAAAAAATTCAAGTTCTTAGACCACATTCTTTCTGTGTCAGAAACCTATGATGTGTCAAATATTTAATCACAATCCAAATTCAGAGCTGTATCAAGCTTGAATGTTGTGTCCATACTTGCCCCAACTGTTCAGGGTTCGACCTCTGCGGTCGTATCAAGCTGCGCCCAGCGAAGCATTTTATTTGTTATTATTTTGAATATTATTATAGATATATATAAACTGTAGGCAGCAATAATGTTCAGCAAAGTAAGATCTACAAAAAAGTTAATATGACCAAAATTGTCAATTGACCCCTTAAGGAGTTATTGCCCTTTAAAGACAATTTTACACAATTTGTTCATCAAGTTTGCTAACATTTAAAAATCTTCTCCTCTGAAATACAGGTGAGCGATTCAGGCTCTTGAGAGCCTCTTGTTAATTTTACTGTACCATTTCAATTAAAAAATTAATGGTACACTATCATGTTCAGCCATAATTATACCCCTGTTCCAAAGGAGGGGGTGTACTGGTTTAATTCTGTCTATGTGTCTGTGCAATAAAATTTTGGTTGTAATTTTATCAGGCACTACGAATTCGAGCTTCCTGAAATTTGGGTAAATCCCCACTTTGAAGAAGGGTGGTTTACTGGTTTACCTCTGTTTGTCTGCCCTTCTATCTGTCAGTCCTTCCATCCTACCACCCAATAAAATGTTTATCGCATTATCCTCAGGAACTAATGATTCAGAGCTTCCTGAAATTTGGTATTAAGCTTCATTGTAAGTATGCTATACTCTATACTAGTTAATATGTTTTCACTCATCAACTGACTGTTTACATTCATATATATTGTTGCACATTTTTTCATGAAATATGAATCTTGAGTTTTCTGAAATTTGATATCAAGCTTCATTTCCTATTTTCATTTCTGCACTCTTAAGTTTGCCTCATCCAAATTTTTAAAACGCTTACATCATGCTAAGAACCAAAACTAGCAGACAGAGTTCGAATTTGGACAGTGAGTTATTAACCGTTCTAAAGTTATGCCCCTTTATAACTTGGAAAATTGCTATTTTTTTCTGCACTCTAACTTAAGTTTGTCTCATCCAAATTTTATGAAACTTATACACAATGCTAAGAACCTTAACAGGCGGACAGAGTTTGAATTTGGGTTGTGAGTCATTTACCGTTCTGGAGTTATTCATTTTTTAACTTGAAAAATTGCAAAGCTTGAACGGGGGACACATTCTTCTTTTATTTATCTGTCATATGATAGGAAATTTTATTCAAATGTCAGCTTAAAATTTTTAAAATGTCAGATTTTCTTGGCATTTCATTATAGTCTACTTGAATAAGGAAGTTCAGTTACTGAAAACTTCACTTCTGCAATGCTTAATTTGAGTGTCAATCTATATGCATCATGTACATTCCTTTATTTCTATTCTTTTCAAATTTTGTTGTCACCAATGAACCTAAGTGTGTTTTGATTTAAGTTTGTGAATTATATTTTTTTTATCTATCAACCCACATATACACAATGAATAAAAATAGTAGAACATAGTGTTAAATTGAAAATTATAATTGTCTAATATATCTAAAAAGCTCTAATTGATAGAGAAACTTGACGAGCAAAATTTCTTAGAAAGTAATGGATCTTTTGTAAATCCAAGAGGGGGCAGGGGGCGCTGATTTTTACTGTCTTGTCTATGATGAAATCTGTAGAATATGGCATAATGATGCTAATCCAGTGTGGGGGCCCCGGGGCATTATATTTAAAAGGTAGAAGGCCTTGATATTTCATACCTTGTATACAGGTGGCTTCTCATGTTTTGAAGTTTCTGTCAGTCATATATTGATTGTTTTTAACCTCAATTTCATGGTTAAGCAACTATTTTTATATAATGGTCGTATATTGGTATCACGTCGTCAGCGTCGTCTGAAGACATTTGGTTTCCGGACAATAACTTAAGTAAATGTAAAAAAAATCTATGAAATTTAAACACAAGGTTTATAACCACAAAAGGAAGGTTGGGGTTGATTTTGGGGGTTATAGTCCTAACAGTTTAGGAATTAGGGGCCAAAAAGGGGCCCAAATAAGCATTTTTCTAGTTTCCAGACAATAACTTGTGGAACGGTGTATGGATCTCTCTGAAATTATACCACAAGTTTCCCTACAGCAAAGGGATGGTTAGGATTGGCTATGGGGGGTTATGGCTCAAACGGTTTAGGAATTAGGGGCAAAAAGGGGGGAAAACAAGGGTTTCCTGGTTAATGGACAATTAAAAAAAAGTACAATGTTATGTTTGGATTACCTCCCTTACACTGCTTTTAAATTATGTATAAAGAAATGCTGTATTGTCTTGAGGTGATTAGCTGATTATGTATGTCATTTTCTATTTTAAGACTTTTATGATGTATTTAAATGGGTAATTATGGTTGCAAACTCCATTGAACAGGCTATTATTTGAACTTGGAATTATTTTTAATTATGGAATTCGTTTATTAAGTATTATTATGTTTTGAGCGGTGCATAACACTTTCCACACAATGTATTTTGTATAGATAGTGTTGTGCGCGGCACAGTACATTCTATTGAAAATGTGCTATCGTCTTTGTAATAGAAAGTGTTGTGCGCAGCACAGAACATTATAATACAGAATAAACATGGAATTCATTAAAAATTTCAAGCACAAGAAATAATGCAAATTCCATAATTAAAAATAATTCCAAGTTCAAATGATAGCCTGTTATAGGAAATTTGAATGGAGATTATGACCATATCTTGAGGGAAAGAATTTTTTTTTTTTTTGGAAAAAGGGAGGGGGGCTGGAAAAAAATTGGGGGGGGGGGGTAAAAAAGAAATTGTGAGGGGGGGGGGGGGAATTTTTTATCATTTCAGATTTTTTGCAAAAAAAAGGGGGGGTAAACATTTTTTGGGGGGGTAACAAAATATTTTTTTTGGGGGGGGGGGTCAATTCACAACAGCATAGTGTATTGCACAAAAGCAAAAAATTGAATATAAATTCAAATCATATAACATTCTAAGTTCTTTGGTTACAGTTATTCTGTGTCAGAAACCTATTATGTGTCAAATATTTAATTACAATCCAAATTCAGACCTGTATCAAGCGCGAATATTGTGTCCATTTTTTCCCCAACTGTTCAGGGTTGGACCTCTGCTGTTGTATCCAGCTGCGCTCGGCGAAGCAATTTATTGAAATCTGATTTTATTTATCTCACAGATTTCACACTGATAATGAGTAATGGGATAACTATATTTGGTATATGGCATCCTTTCAAAGTCTACACATCCGTCAAACAGGGATCAGAATTTCAACTTTAAATTAAACATAAATTAAATAATGAGCAGTAAAGCAGAGGTGTGTTCTCTTTTGTAAATATCAATCAATATGACACAACTTTTCCCAAATCAGTGATTCAGGGGAGGAACTATTTAGTACACACAGTTCTTATTCATATATCAAAATATCCAACAATTAAAATAAAGGAAAATAAAACAATATTCTGTAAAAAATTTAATAACACACTAAAAAACATGAAGCCTCTGTAGGTAAGAAATAATGATATGTTATTCACATTTACATTTAGGTTATAAATGGTGTAAAGTTTTACTACATTAATTCATTTAGTAGTTTCATACTTCTTGCAATAATAGCTTGCAGATTTTTACTTATATTTCTGCAGTACTGAATACTTCATGTTATTGGGAATTTGGGATCCCTTGAACATCTCAAGTACACCATTATAATTCAATTATAACAATTTTCAACCACCAGTTCTAATTTAAAAATACTAAAAAAAAGATATCAGATCATTAAATGACCATAAATGCAGTAAAATTGAAAAATAATTGTACAAAATTATGACTTTTGACTCACATGCTATAATATATAAAGAGTTTGTAACTTTAAAGACTTATAATCAATCAAAATATTAGGATACTATTTTTGTTTGCTTCAAGCAAAAAATATTTTACACATGAAGTGTTTTTGTTATTATCTTACTTGATGACAAAAATTAAATTTGAATATGCTTGTGCTCTTTCTCTATTTAGCTGCAATTTTTTTAGCTAAATCCCTGAATTATTGCATCATCAAATCAGAGTTTATGTTGATATTTTATGAAAGGTTTCTATCAGATATTTAAAAATAAATTATTTTAAATGGTTGACAGCATACAATTTTCCATTGTCCTTGATTTTATAGGGCCAAATAAACCTCAAAATGTGTTTCCTTTCCAATGTCTAGTTTTTAAAAACTGTAAGGCTTGATTGCATATAAATGATGGGTCTATTTGGTCCATTGGTCTAAGTAGTTCATCTGGTATGATAGTTAGCTTGTCAACACTGAGGTTATGACTTCCAACCCTGCTCATGGCAAGGTGTGGTTGTTATTAATTGGTCAGAAATGTCAGTTTTCCAACCATAAGTCTGTGGTTCTCTCCTGATACTCTTGTTTCCTCCACCAATAGAAACTGGCTGCCATGATTCAGCCAAAGGCACTGAAAGTGGAGATAAACACAAACAAACTAACAGATAAGCAAAACATATTTATGTATTGATAGTTCTCGAAATTTTAGAAATTGAGTGTAGTAAATGAAAAGTACTATCATAGTCACTGATTATCACTCCCATCAATGTGCAGCATTTAGAATCTACATGTGCCTAGTTTGTTGTAGACAAGCCTTATTCACTCAAGTAAAAAACCAGTTGTGTATATTTAATTACATCATAGTTGGAGCATATTCACAAATTGTTCAGGTGTTATAAAAGACTTTGATGGAGCCATATCTGGATTTGAACAGGGATGTCCTTGTATCTGAAAGAAAAAGGAAACCAGTGATAATCTATGCATATCTGTTAAGTATTATGTAGTTAAGAAAAGAAAATGGGATTTCAGTGAATTACCTATTCTTCCAAAAGATTGAACATCTAATGCAACATACACAGTTAAATGAAAATAAAAGGAGATATTGGTTATACGTCAATGAGATAGCAACACAAAGCTAATAAGCAAATGACATCTAGAGGTCAGCATCCAGTCTTTAATAATAGACGGGTGTCTACACAATATGTCAATCTCTGAATCATATGTGTTTAACAAAAATGAATGAATTTAATAGAAACCAGCAAAGATCTGCCATTAACAATCAATTCTCTAAATGAGTTTTAAAAAAAAAGTCTTTTTAATCATTTTTGATAGATCTATTTGGGTTTGTTGATTATTATTGTAATTGAGAAAGGTTACTCACCCTCCAATATAACTTCCTACAATTATAGCACAAAACAACCTCGTCTCCATACGCCTCCGTAAATGTTAATTTGAACCGCCTGTTTGAATAAAATTATATTTCTGTATTAACAGTCTTCACTGATGCTGGACAAACATGTTATACACATTAAAATATAAAGTTCCGTGGTAAATATCACATGCATTTTTAGGATGAGAACATTTTCAACAATAATGAATTATGCAGATTCAGTCTCTAGAGTAAATAAAGAGGGATGGAGGGAAGGAAAAAGTAGTTAGTTTTGACTATATATCCATTAAAGAACTGTTGTGAGTTGGGTTCTCTTGCATGCAGAGATCTGGGTATTCTACTGATACAAGCATATTTATTGTCCTCATTCCGACTGGAATAAATTAATGATTTCTACGTTAAATTTACTTGTTCCAAATTATTTTTATGACCACAAATTGAAATCCATTAAACTTGCTTGGGTCCTCTTCAACCTCATACTTTATTTAAAATTGAGAATGGAAATGGGGAATGTGTCAAAGAGACAACAACCCAACCTTTTTTATTCGACCTGATGAGTCTTTTGTAGAAGAAACGCACATCTGGCGTACAATTTTTTAAGCCTTGTATCTATGATAAGTTTATTCAATATAGTTGGCATAGAAGCTAGGTATTTACTTACCCTTTACATAAATAAAACAAATGTATCCAGTTAGTGTCACTGTCATCCAAGTCATCGGTAGTAAGTGAAGAAACTTGTTTTTCCGAGAAATGGAGCAAGCATAACTGTTGCCATAGTAACCAATCTTCACATATGACATTGAGATAGCTACAAGCTTGTCCCAGGTTAAGAATATCTTTAGGATTGGACAGTTTGGAAATAATGTTGTAAATGCTTTCTTTTGGTAGATCTAGAAACATTGGCTTACCATCCTCTTCTCTCTGAAATTGCAGTATAGATAATAAGATCTTAGATTTGACTATGGTTATTGGATTCAAAGTTAAAAGTTCTGTTTATTTATTTGTAATGCATGTTCTGTGGTAATTATACTTGAAACTTTGACTGAGATAAAAACTTTATCCCCTAGGAAACATCGGAAGTTTTACAATCCCTAATAACTAGTTCAAATCCAGTATTTTCCATAATTGAAGATATTCGAGGATTTCAGTGAATGTGGAAAATTAATAATGTAAGAATTCAATTTGCCTGAAATAAAGATTTATTCAAATATCATAATTATTGAAATTATAAGGTGAGAATATTGTTATTTTTGTAGGGCCAAAAGAGCCTCTAAACGGCCTTCTCTCTAATGCATAGTTTTTAAAAACTGTAGAGCTTAATTGCATATTAATGATGGGTCTGGGTGGTCCCTTGGTCTAAGTAGTTCGTTAACTCGTCAACACTGAAGTTATGACTTCCAACCCCGCTCATGGCGAGGTGTGGTCGTTTTTAATTGCACACCCAAGGTAGTAACAACCCCTGGCCCTTTCCGACCAAGCATAATATACAAACCGGTGTTATTTCAAACATGTCCAATCGACATAGAAGATTGCTAACTGTCTCCTTATGTTTGTTCCACAACCGTTTACTACCAATTCTATTCCTCTCTCCCTTTTCCAAAGACGTCAATGCAGTCCTCAACAGTTTACGTACACAATTAAGATTTGTTTCAGAAGACAAAGCTGAAAATAAAGCATTAAAATTGAGAATGGAAATGGGGAATATGTCAAAGAGACAACAACCCGACCAAAGAGCAGACAACAGCCGAAGGCCACCAATGGGTCTTCAATACAGCGAGAAAATCCCGCACCCGGAGGTGGTCCTCAGCTGGCCCCTAAATAAAATTGTGTTAAACATGTTTTGTGAGATCTCAACCCTCCCCATATACCTCTAGCCAATGTAGAAAAAAGAAACACATAGCAATACGCACAGTAAAACTTAGTTTAAAAGAAGTCCGAGTCCGATGTCAGAATAGGTAACAAAAGAAACTAAGCAAAATGACAATGATACATAAATGAACAAAGGACTACTAGCAGTTACTGACATGCCAGCTCCAAACCTCAATTAAACTGATTGAAAGATTATGTCTTCATCATATGAAAAACAAGTACAATCACTCCCGTTATGGGTTTAGTATCATACCATCATAAAATATATGAAAAGAACATAACCCGTATCATGCCAACAACTGGTTTTAGAATAAATGTGTTTATTTCCGATGCAAAGACCCTATGAGTGAATCAATATTAATACCAAAATATGCAATCCTTAATGACTTGACAACAGTAGCGTAGCTATATCCTTTCCGAATAAGTCTGTTTAAAGGTTTGGTTAGCTTTTGAGGTGAATGCCGACATTTTTGTGCTTTGTAAAGAATATTACCATGAAATATTGGATGTGAAATACCTGAACGTATAAGATGTGCAAACATTAATTTCAATGGAAAACTTGCCACTTAAAACATGCCTGTATATATATAATTTTTTTAAAACAGAAGTCTGTTGATTTTGGGGAATTGAACGTGTCAGAACTTGTTATATGTGAAATGAGGCTGGAATTTTTCTGGCTTGTCTGAGTGAAGGAGACATCTTTTTGTTGGTTTTTTTTTTGTCAAGCACACTGAAAAATCATTTATGAACATTACAATCATGGATTCAGCTCTTTTATGGGGAACCAACTATGAATTATTACGATTATAAAATCAGAACAAAAGAACCGAAAAAAAATTATGTTGCTTTGAATTTCTGTATTCTGAATTATTAAAAAGAAATTTGACCTGTGAACACATGGAAAGAAGATACCAATGAGGCAATAATAACCCACAAGTGAAAGAAAGAATACATAATGAAGAAAACAAATACGACGAAAAGACAACAGTCCACAAACCACTAAACAAGACTGAGCAACACGAATCCCAATAAAATATCTTTGGCCCAGGGAGGGCAAACAGTTTCCTTTCTACATGAGGTACCCGTCGTAGTGTTCATATAGCAAGTACAAATTTGGTGGCACCAGGTCACATTCGACTCATCCCGTGCAATTGCTATCTGCAGTCTTCCTCAGTATTACTTACAATCATATAAAACATTTACCAAATTGCAGTGTGAATCATTCAACTAAATTGATTAATTAGTAAAATATTCTAACAGCTAGTAACTAAAGACTACAGTAAGTTTGAAATTAATATAAAAGAGACGGCGAATTGATAGTAGGTTAGATGCAGGGTGGTATTTGCTATTGTATTGTTATTTGGGTGGTTTTTTTTTTAAATTAACAAGATTTTTTGTTAATATAAATTGGTTTTGCAAATGCACTGCTACTTGCCGAAGTCTAGATTCAGCAGTAGGATTATCATTTTTATCATTTGATGTGTTTAGTTATGGGTTACGAAGTCTAGATCCAGCAGTAGGATTATCATTTTTATCATTTGATGTGTTTAGTTATGGGTTACGAAGTCTAGATTCAGCAGTAGGATTATCATTTTTATCATTTGATGTGTTTAGTTATGGGTTACGAAGTCTAGATTCAGCAGTAGGATAATCATTTTTATCATTTGATGTGTTTAGTTATGGGTTACGAACTGCAATTTAATGGATATTTATTTCATCTGACTCGATTTGAATGCACTTGCATTCAATACAGAGTAATTGGATGAAAGGATAGACAGTTTTTTCTAAATTAATAAAAAGAATTAACAAAACCATTTAATTAAAATTTTAAATAAAGATAACTTTCCACTTGATTAATTTTAAGATTTGTTTATTTGATAGTGGAAACTATAGAATTTCGAACCCCATGAAACATGACAGCGTTATAGCTACTTTGTCTATAAAAAGTGGGACTTAAAGACAAGTAAGAATTGTAATTATATGGACTCGTCCCAAATATGCATGAAAGATTTGCCACTGTTACCCCAATCAAGATCAACCATTATTTTTATGCATAGACAAGACGTCACCGAATATGATAGCGGGTTTGATTAGATGAGATAGCTAGAAGGATCTGAAGAGTGAGTGGTGCGGGAGAAAAACGAATTGTGGGTGCCTCTGGAAAATATGGGTATATTGCATTGACAGCAAAATTATAAGAAAGTTCACCTTCAAATAGCATCTTTTCTATAGCTATAAAAATTTGTTTCCGTGATGTACCACTAATTTTGCTCAGCCCAACTGTTAACAATGATCTGAAAAACTACGAAATGGAATCTCTTTTAGATACAAGTGTGTTATATACTGATTTGTTTTTGTAATAAAGGTTACGCCTGCATGGGTTTAATGTCGACCTAACAGTTTTTGTTGTGATGATAACGTAATTGGAAATTGCATTATTCTTTCTTTGTTGTTTCTCTTGTCAATACTTTTCAAGCAAATCAAAGCTATCTTTTCCTCTGCAGCTACAGAGTATACTGGGACGGTGTTTTGTAAACCTTGTGACTTTTGATATGGCCGTCGTTTTACTGGTATATAATGGTTTAATACCACTGTCCATCGAACCGTTTCCATTTTATTTTGACAATCGTCTTTTAATATTGTCGGTTTGAAGTTATGAAACTTCAATTATAAAAAGTAGGTGTGCGATTTTGTCCTGATATATGGAAACTCAGTACGGTTCCATCGAATGATATGGAATTTGACAACATATCCTAACCTGTAAATTTATTCTTTTTTATACATACTAGTAACTGATTTTCTGATTGGTTATGCTGTGTTTATGTGATTTTTTTTATTAGATAAAGGAGACGGGATCATGGATTCATAGCACAGCTGCCTACTCATGAAAAACACAAGAAAACGATAAGACTGAATGCCAATACACTGTAATACATTGTTGTACTTACATCAGAGCAGTAACGAAATCCACAAATACTTAATGCCACTTTCTCAACTTCTAACTTTTGTAAAGTTTCACTCAAACTTATTGTTATTCGTCTCTAAAATGAAATAACTTATCATATGTAAAACGCCTGATACATCCCACTTGTCTCGGGAAAGAATATAGCATCAAATTGTTTGTGTAAAGAATATTCTTTACGTATAAAAGCATTCCAATGTATTATGATAATTATAAAAAATATTAAATTGTCTTAATTATGATCTCTTATGAAATATTGGCATCCAATATTACTTTTAGTCATATTTAATTTCAAGTGTAGCTTTTGAAATAGCAGATGGGCAGGTAAAAGAACATCTTATTGTGATAGAATCTAATATTAATCATTTTTCATTGCTTTGCTTATTCAAAATTTTACCTCTTCCCCAGTTCCCTGAATTTGATGAATACATGGCTGCCATATATCTTCGTCTGCACTACAAAAGATAACGCATGCAGTTAAAATCAAAGCAAAAAATACATGTACAAGACAAATAAATTAGAAAGAAGTTGCTTTAAATTAACACCAATGGTACCAGTTAATAAGCATCTTTGTTTGTAAAGAAATAAAGGTTCTTTTTGAAGGTGTTTATTGATGTGAAAACTCTGTAGACTCACCCACAGACTGAATAAAATACGAAGGATTTTGTGTAAATGTTGAGCATGAGACTTAGTTTACATATCAATGATCTCTGTAAAATATCATTCGTTGCATATAGGTCCAATTAAATGCACTAAAAGTAGTGTCCAGATCTATACTCCTACAAACCTTGCAGATTATTTCGCCGGTTTTGTTATTCGAAAGAATGCCCAAGGTTTCGAATAACCAAACCTGTACTCGGCCAGTTGCGGATATAAGAACGCCTCCCCCTTTTGACGAAGCAAATATGATAAATGCATAGGCATTTTATCATTTATATAAAACAAAATACGAATATACATATTTCACGTCTTGAACCAAAATAAAAAGGACACCCCACCTTTCAGAACACTGCATTCGCCTTCAAATATCGACGAGCCACTGGAGACTCACGCTGGAGATATGGAGGATGAATATCTTCGTGTCATTTTCACCGATGAAACTGCAGTGATAACTGTAATTTTTAAGAGATACCTGAGTTTTTCGATTCATTTGATTGAATACAGAATACTTATACTAAACAGTCAAGATTGTTGTAATTTTCCACCAAATCAAACTTTTTAGTTAAAGTAACTTAGATATTAAGGGAGAAGGGGTGGATGTCACAGGCATTTGTTTCTGTGTGTTATATTTAAAAGGTATATACCGAGAAGGATTTAGGGGGGATGCCCGGGTCCCCCCTTATGGAGCTACATTTATGGTTAATCCAGACTTTTTACCTATACCACCCAAAATATTGTCTATAGTTAGGGGGCCCGCGGATCATAATCTGATATAGGATTTTTTTTCAGAGACAAGTGCCTGTGGTGGATGTACATTTGCACGTGACCAAAGGAAATATCATGTATTTAAAATGAACATTCCGGCATTGATTGCTACAGCTATTGAATTGTTCTGGAAGATCTTTCAGTAAATTATTCTCTTTTACGTTATCAGAGGCGGATTTAGGGGGCCCAGAGGGCCGGGCCCCCACTTTTGTGGGAAAAATTTGGTTGATTATATAGGGAATCACTGAAGCATGACTGGAGCGGGCCCCCTCTTAGGCAGTCAGTGGGCCCCCTCTTATGAAAATTTCTGGATCCGCCACTGGTTATTGCATACTAGTATGTCAAAATGTTGGCTTAATTATACCTATATATACATCAGAAAGTTAAGACCTATTTTTAAAATCTGAGAATATAATTACCTTTTTGATTAATCTTGAAATAAAATTAAATTTAAACAAGAAATGATTGTAACAGGATGCTGTTACGAAGTCTCCCAAACGAAGCTCCCATAATTCGTAATTCCCAGGGTCGCCTGACATTGGGCAACGTCTAGTGAAAATTGGTTTGGTCCAGTAAAGTTATATGCATTAGTGATGCCTGGGGAATAACCTTGTATATCATTCAAATCATCTTGGCATGACAAACCAGAATATATATATGGTTTAGGGGTGGGGATCTCGACCATTTACAAGATACTAGAACATTGGGGGTGGGGAGGAACCCCTGGGGACTGGCCCTATACGTCATTCAAATGTTCATTACATGACGAACAGGAATATATATGGTTTAGGGGTGGGGATCTCAACCATTTACAAGATATTAGAACATTGGGGGTGGGGGGAACCCCTGGGGACTGACTGTATACGTCATTCAAATGTTCGAGACATGACAAATAGGAATATATATGGTTTAGGGGTGGGGATCTCAACCATTTACAAGATATTAGAACTTTCTCAAATGGCAGGGGGTCGGGATGACCCCTGGGGACTAACCCTGTATATCATTCAAACCATCTTCGCATGACAAACCAGAATATATATGGTTTAGGGGTGGGGATCTTGACCACTTAGAAGATATTAGAACTTTCTTAAATGGCAGGGGGAGGGGGTGACCCCTGGGGACTAACCCTGTATTTCATTTGATGTGCTTTATCATGACAAACCAGAATATATATGGTTTAGGGGTGGGGATCTCGACCATTTACAAGATATTAGAACTTTCTCAAATGGCAGGGGGTCAGGATGACCCCTGGGGACTAACCCTGTATATCATTCAAACCATCTTAACATGACAAACCAGAATATATATGGTTTAGGGGTGGGGATCTTGACCACCTACAAGGTATAAGAACTTTCTTAAATGGCAGGGGGTGGGGGTGACCCCTGGGGACTGACCCTGTATTTCATCTGATGTGCTTTATCATGACAAACCAGAATATATATAGTTTAGGGGTGGGGATCTCGACCATTTACAAGATATTAGAACTTTCTTAAATGGCAGGGGGTCGGGATGACCCCTGGGGACTAACCCTGTATATCATTCAAACCATCTTAGCATGACAAACCAGAATATATATGGTTTAGGGGTGGGGATCTTGACCACTTAGAAGATATTAGAACTTTCTTAAATGGCAGGGGGTGGGGGTGACCCCTGGGGACTAACCCTGTATTTCATTTGATGTGCTTTATCATGACAAACCAGAATATATATGGTTTAGGGGTGGGGATCTCGACCATTTACAAGATATTAGAACTTTCTCAAATGGCAGGGGGTCAGGATGACCCCTGGGGAATAACCCTGTATATCATTCAAACCATCTTAACATGACAAACCAGAATATATATGGTTTAGGGGTGGGGATCTTGACCACCTACAAGGTATAAGAACTTTCTTAAATGGCAGGGGGTGGGGGTGATCCCTGGGAACTAACCCTGTATTTCATTTGATGTGCATTATCATGACAAACCAGAATATATATAGTTTAGGGGTGGGGATCTCGACCATTTACAAGATATTAGAACTTTCTTAAATGGCAGGGGGTCGGGATGACCCCTGGGGAATAACCCTGTATATCATTCAAACCATCTTAGCATGACAAACCAGAATATATATGGTTTAGGGGTGGGGATCTTGACCACTTACAAGGTATTAGAACTTTCTTAAATGGCAGGGGGTGGGGGTGACCCCTGGGGACTAACCCTGTATTTCATTTAATGGGCTTTATCATTTAGAACATTTTCAATTAAAAAGATTGTGTCTATCACAAACGGTTTTCAATTTATAATCATTTGAAAATTTTTTAAAATTAAATCCCATAGGGTTCTATAGTAAAACCCTCTTTTCTTTTTGCCCCTCAAAGTACCCCTTTATAAACCCCATTGCAAAAACAAAACCCTGATTGCACCACTAGACATGTTAGTCTAACATATTGTGAAACCCTAAGTTAATCTGACAAGCGGTTTTGGAGAACGGGTGCGGACAAGTTCAAATTTAAAAGCGGCGGAAGAAGAAGAAGAAGAAGAAGAAGAAGAAGAAGAAGAAGAAGAAGAAGAAGAAGAAGAAGAAGAAGAAGAATAATAATAAGAACTGAGCAAAAACAATAAGTCTTCCCAAACTTCGTTTGGGAGACTTAATAATTAGTACTTACGACATTCTTTCTGAAGCAAGAAGTATCTGACTAGTCTGTGTACCTTTTGCTGCGATATTACATGCAGGTAAGAGCTGTTTAGAAATATCTATTTTAAAACATTACAGGTAAATCTATTAAATTTATTGGTTAGATTATATGCTACTTTCGTTTTGCGCCATTACCATATATGGCAATTTAGTTGTTTACGATACCATATTTGTCGATAAATCAGTATAGGCTCGATCCGCGCTTTAACAGACTAAAGAACGGGTCAATATATATATTGTCTCAGAGACACTTTAAATCATATATTGTAAATAAATACCTGCATACCATATATAAATATATATATAAACAAGTCTAAATTGAAAACAACGTTCAAACCTATGATTGCGTTGGATAAAAACCGCAATTTTTATACGTGTGCATGCAAAACAAATTTCTTGGTAGAGAGGTCTAAATACAGCACAAACAACATTTTCCAAAAGACCAAAAGAGTGAAAAGGTATATTTTAACAAAACGCATTTGACTTGCAGGTCGAACAACTGATTTTCTAAAACCCTGCTGACTGCCATTGGCGATTGCCAAATAAACGGATCGCCAGATGTAACAAAATGGATCTTAACTATTAATTTGATACCAAACAGAAAACAATAAACTTGCGGAAAAGATGGTATACCGCAAACAAAAGGTGCAAAAATTAGTACACCATATCCGAATTTCGACAATTAATGTCTCTTCAGTGATGTTAGGAATCGAAACGGTATTTGTAAGGCCATATAATTTACCTCAATTTAGGGTAGACTCTTGAATTTTGAAGAGTCGAAATAGGATGAACGGATCATATAAACCCGAAGGCAAATATAATACAAGCCCAAACGAAAAAATATAAACAAGTCTAAATTGAAAACAACGTTCAAACCTATGATTGCGTTGGATGTTCTTAAACCCTGCTGTCTGCCATGGCGATTGCCAAATAAACGGATCACCAGATGTATCAAAATGGATCTTAATTATTAATTAAATACCAAACAGAAAACAATAAACTTGCGGAAAAGATGGTATACCGCAAACATGAGGTGCAAAAATTTGTACACCATATCCGGATTTCGACAATTAATGTCTCTTCAGTGATGTTAGGAATCGACACGGTATTTGTAAGGCCATATAATTTACCTCAATTTAGGATTGACTCTTGAATTTTGAAGAGTCGAAATAGGATGAACAAGGCAAATATAATACAAGCCCAAACGAAAAAATATGAATAAGTCTAAATTGAAAACAACGGTTCAATCCTATGATTGCGTCGGATAAAAACCTCAATTTTTATACGTGTGTATGCAAAACAAATTTCTTGGTAGAGGGGTCTAAATACAGCACAAACAACATTTTCCAAAAGACCAAAAAAGTGAAAAAGTATATTTTAACAAAACGCATTTGACTATATATATATATATAATGTACCGGATCGTCTAGAATCGGCGATACTGCGCAGATAAGGAAACATTATAAAAGTGTAAAAGTCTAAAGATTTGCGCAACATTACGATGTTTGGCAAATCTTTAGACTTATCAAACTAGAACCTGCTGATCTTTTCGTATCATTCGAAAGGAAAATACAGTACAAGACATTTCTAAACATCTGTAAAGGTTTACAAAATGCACTCTCATGATTATTATTTGTAAAGAACAACGGCTGCGTGATTTTATGTTTTATATGAATAAATATCGAACAAAGATGGATGAAATTCTTTTATTGAAGTTTTGAGAATTCAACTTTTCCGACGAACAATTTTTTTTCTTTAGGTACAATGTACTACTTTACTATGAAAACCGTTTCTAGTTGCTTATGTTCCGATAAACCCCATATTCTCGACCCACACAACAAAACTGGTTGAACAAGGTTTTCGTATATATCGAAGACAATTCCACCGACGCCACAAGATGATCTATAAATTTCGTATAAAGTGTTAACAAAGCAAAATGTGCTCTATCCTCTTGAATAAATCTGGTTTAAACAAAGACAATCATTCATTTGTAAATGGCTTTAAAAGGTGACATAATCCATCGTTTGTTGCTAGGACCCAATGATTCCGCGGAAATATGAATGCAAACCGGTTGATAACACTGATGTAATAGTTCCCGCAGAAAAGATGGATTATCTAGATCGTGGATGCCTTCAAACTTTATATACTAATTTAAAATTAAGTCGCTGCATTTGTTATACTCGGAATAGCATGCCTACATCTAAGCGAGTTAAAGATTTGATGAGTTGATGTGGGCAAAGCTTAAGCATGCACATATCTATAGTTGATCGAAGAAGATGTTCGCCACCATATTTGTCAAAGAACCCAGGCTGCTAACCTGGACACTGAAGCTCAGTGGGAAGCATCATTCTTTCTGAAATAATGTGATGTTGAGATTCTTCTTTTCCTTTTTTTAAGCAAGGTGGTATTATAATTTTCGTTTTAAATGATCTAGGACAATTTGAAGATTTCGAATGATATAGACCACATGCATTACCATTACTTACGAAAGATGACTTTAGGAATCTATAATCGTCTGATTGATATATTGTTCATCTTAGTATATCGTATCCCAAACATCGTCCATTGTGTGTGCCATGCTGTCCGTCTGTCTTGTAGTTCGAAAGATGAAATACTATAATATGAAACAAAATCAAGATGCGTCTGGCCGGGTTTTTTTTATGTATAACCCTGCGTATGTGCGTAATTTTTGTATCATTTTATAATGGTTCATATGTGTAAAAGTTTTCTTGTGGCTCAAACGGAAACTAGGTGACAGTTTCTTTCGTGAACTACTGATAATCATGTAAAAATTTGCTGGTCTTATGTGTTTGTGCGTTTCAAAGTACATTCCACGTATGTTTTACTGGTTCACAGCGCAAGATATATAGATTTTTCGTAAAGGGTGTTCGAGTTGCTTTCCTGTCATAGGCCTTTCTTTAAGTCTAAGTACATATTAAGTCAGGAATAAGCTATTTCCGAATATTTCAGATGGACCATTAATCCGTAATAAATTCGTTAACTACTATACTGTCAACAGATTTATTAAAACGAAAGCGGTATCAAATACATTAAGATATCAAACTTTTATTATCCATGCTTGCTTTCCTGCATGCCCAAACCTTCTTTTAGTCTCATTGGGTCATTAGTACCAACATTAATAAAGTTGAAAAACATAGGTTGAACGGTTCATTATTTATTGCATGGAAACTGTTGGCAGCCTACCGCCTGCCGTACTTCAAAAATTCGGGAAAATTGCGGGAAAACTCGTTTAAATACGTATACGTATACTCAGGTACATAGGTTACGGTTACCTAATTTAAAATTTTTATTGGCACCTATCAGATTCCCGTCGATTTCACTTCGAGTTTTTAAGATTGGAGTTGGAAATATTATCTAATCTTCGTCAAGGGAGTATGAAATGTACGAACGCATGGTGCAGATCGACGTTCTTTAATAGGATCTTGCATAAATATTTACCCAATCAGTTGTTCTTGAACCGAATCGGTGGTCTCTCGGCTACTTGTTGGCCGATTCAACCCAAGGACGTTAAAGTTTGTATTTACTTCTTCTCCGTAGATCAGCTCAAGATGGTCAGATCACAGCCACAATAATCAAAATCTTTCAGTAAAGTAGCTAGTATACAGCGTTAAAATCAAGTCTAGAACGTCCGTCCCGAATGAAGGGACAACACGATTTTAGCAGTTTAGGATGTACAATTAGGGATCTGAGAAAAAGAGGAGAAAAAGAGAGAAATGCGAGAAAAAAATAATACAAAAGCTGGATTTGGGAAATTGGCACCCGTGTCACCCTCCCGAATTTGCATGAGCAATGAGCCGTTGGACATTAACCATGTTAACAATCCATCCACCGCATGTGCACCTCTATACGACGTTACAGGAGAAATGAATGAAAGCCTCATAATAGTATTATGCTATAACTTATTAGGAATCTGTTACGTAAAACAATCTACCTGCGACATCCCACCAATGCACGACACATTGACCTGCCCTGAACTGGAAACGTTATTCAATAACAATGGAGCCAAAGCGAACGCAAACTTCACCAAAGCCATGCATTCGCAAGTCGAAGGTCAAAGTAACTCAATTTGATTGTGGACTTCCTTCACTAAATATGATGAACCAATTGGCAAATGACAAAAGACCAATCTTCTATTTGCATTTGCTTAGATGTATCCTAAATGACCAATATGCTATTTATGTGCAGTGGCGGATCCAGAACTTTTTATAAGGGGGAGCACGCTCCAGTGATTCCCTATATAATCAACCAAATTTTTCTTACAAAAAGGGGGGGGGGGGCACCCCTGCCCCCCACCTGGATCCGCCTATGATGTGAAAAATAAAGGTCATATTTTTTTTAGTTTCCATTAATATGGTGTATCAACTTACAACAGTTTATTAATTTGAGCGTTGTAGTTGCTTAGATCTAGACCAACAGAAAACTTCAGTAAAATGATTCATTGTTGTTTGCTTTACGTCCAGTGGCAAAAACTCCATGTATATTCAGGTCCTGCAATAGGGGGGTCATCCAGGCTTTTTGGAATGCCACTGGAGACTGCAAAATGAGGTAATTTTGAAATGGGATAAAAATTGAGGCTTTAAACCAGTCACCTACAGACCCTCAAAGTCTTGTCGCAAGTGGTTCTTATTATCCTGACAGGGTATAGCCATAGCACCATCTCTATAACTAGAGGCTTTTGCGTTGCTTTCAATAATGGCCGCTTTTAGTAAAAATCAGAATGAAAGGGGAACAACACTATTAAGCGTTAACGGACAATTTCAGTAATGTTGACATATTTGTAGATCTTATCCTGCTGATAATGTTTCCTTTCTGAAGTTTCTACTTATCTATTATAGTTTCCAAGAAAATAGGCAAAAAATGCAAAAAAAATGTCATTAATTGGCAATAACTACAAACAAGTCGACTGAAGATTTCGGCCATTATGGCCCATTTTTAGATCTTGTCTTGCTAATCATTTGTGCTATTTAAAGTTTCTATCTATCTATTACAGTTTTCAAGATAATAGGCAATAATGGGAAACATTGTCATTAAAGGGCAATAACTTCAACAAGGAGTTGACTAACG